ACTAATTGTATTGGAATTCGCAGCCCAAAGGCTGCGGTATAGTGGGCTTCGGCGTCTGCGTCAAGGTGTCGCATTTTCAGCAGCGGGCGACCAGGTCGCAAAGTGGGTTTTTAGGGGGCAAAAGTTTGGGGGGTACCGGTCCTTGGCAAATTGTGGACTATCTACAGACAGCTCTGGAATGACCAGGACTTTTAGAAAAAGCAAGAACCGGTCCTCGGGTGGAAGTGGACCCCAAAAAGAAGTGGGGGTGGGGTAAGGGCCCTCAGGCCCAGGCGTTGAGGCCCGTCTTCTCAAAACAAAATAGGGAGGTCAGGCGTAACAAAACAGGCGTTTTGCAAGAGGCACCTTTGGCGATTTTCTGTGCTCGGAGGAACCCGCAGAAAAATCTGAAATTTTGAGAATCCATATATGAGGTCGTATTCTTTTTGGGAAAAATATTAAAACATTTTTAAAAATTCATTTAGACCGAGAAATAATCGTCGCGCCGATTGGGCATATTTTCCATTTTTGCCACTCAGCCATGTGTGGGCCAACTTAAAAAGTGCTCCAAATTCAGTGAGTTTTCACTCTAAGAAGAATGCGTGAAAAAACCTGAAAATTGGAGTACTCGTAAATTTTATTGTGATCTTTCTAGGAAAAAATGCTAAATAAATTTAAAAATATCATTCCAATTGCGAAATAGATCGCGGCCGCAATTTGACCCATATTTCAATTTGCCATTCAGCCTCTCTCTCTCTCTCTCTCTCTCTCTCTCTCTCTCTATCTATCTATCTATCTATCTATCTATCTATCTATCTATCTGTATCTGTATCTGTATCTCTCTCTCTCTCTCTATTTCTCTCTCTCTCTCTCTCTCTCTCTCTCTCTCTCTCTCTCTCTCTGGTAGCCCCCCCCTCCCTCTCTCTCAGTTTCTTTTTCTTTCTCTCTCTCACTCTCTGTCTCTCTCTCACACTCGTAACAATAAATGGAACAATTTTTTTTCTCTCTCTCTCTCTCTCTCTCTCTCTCTCTCTCTCTCTCTCTCTCTTGTGCGAGCTCATAGTCTCATTGATTTGGCTACCTTAGGGCAGCGTTCCCCGCGCCCACGCGGTAAACAATACAAGAGTTTTTTCTTTTCGAAATCTGAATAGAAAGGGTACACGTTGTATTCGAATATAACGCGTACAATTTCTATTCGGGGTACTCTGCTATTCGAGAAAAGTGCACCCACACCATTTCAATTTCAAAAAAGGCTTAAACCACCAGTACCTCGCTCAGCTATCGGCCGCGGGCCTTCCCGTATACGCGCCGCAGCCTTAGGGGGGTCGCCCAAGGGAAGGCCCGGTCGAGCGCTAAGGCCGGGCCCCGGTCGAGCGCTAAGGCCGGGCCCCGGTCCTGTAGGGATGACACTACTACAGAAAAACAATAAAAGAACGAAGGAAAAAAAAAAAGAAATACACAAACGAAAAAAAAAAAGAAATACACAGAAGGAAAGTCGCACGGGAGGGAGAGAGAGAGAGAGAGA